AAATTTAATTGCTTTTAGTTGATGATCTTGACCTGTTTTGGTTTAGTTGTGTACTTATGAAGTGGTTTGAGTTCAAAGAAAATTTATTTTTAGAAGGCTATAGTTTGGACATGATTATATGATAATAAAAAGAAATTTTTTTTAGTTTTTCTTCTTCTTAAATACCTTCCGTGATACTGTTCGATCTTCTCTAATAGACATACCATATACATATTACTAGACACAAGTACGATAACATTGATATATTTCTTCAAAAAGTGCTATCGAATGCATTGCTAGGCTCATGTAACAGTACTAGAAATTAATTCTCTTTGATTGAATTTACGTAGTTTTCATAATTTTTGGGATGCCATCTCTGTCAAGCAAAACATATAACCGCATCAACATCATAAGATATGCTTCAAAGATGAAATCTTACCTCATCAGGAAAATAACTATCCTAAGGAACTCTATGGGTGTCCTATTTTGTTGGTAATATTGGGAATTATATGTTGGATAATTCCAACATTTATATATATAAATTAAAGGTGTTTAAATACAAGAAGAAATCCATCCACCAACTAATTATCCGAGTCAAGTTTCATCAGATCAGACAAAAGAAATGCTATTGCCTTTCCCAATCCAACTTTCCAAATTTGACAAATAGTCAAATTTTGCGACACAATGGCATTCATGATATTTTCTAGAAGACCAAGACTCATTTCAAGTTTCTAGGTTTATAAATAAAGTCTTCCCTATACTATTCCATTAAAAGGAAACAGGAAACCAGCAACAGCCTTCTCCTCTGATTTTTCACTCCCACATGCAACCAATAAGTTCTTTGCTACAAGAAGAACCATGAATCAAATTGACGATGATCAAATGGTACTCATTTCTCAGTACTATACTGGAGTGGTATATGACCAACTCCTTCCAGAGCAAGGTCAGTACTAGATTCTAAATATTAAACATGTTTGGTACGCAGGACTGGTCTATAATAGTTCAAGATTTCAGTGATGTTTATTTCAACGAATGTTATGTCTAGACTTATAATTCATATACTTGGTGTTGATTCAGTGGAAGCAAAGGCTAGGCCTAGACGTAGGCGAAAGAAGAACAAAGGCGAGGCGGGGAGCTGCAGTGGGGTGATGAGGAAGAGAAAGCTGAGTGAACAACAGATGAATCTGTTGGAGCAAAGTTTTGAAGACGAACACAAATTGGAGTCTGAGAGGAAGGACAAGCTTGCCTCGGATCTCGGTCTTGACCCTAGACAAGTTGCGGTGTGGTTTCAAAACAGAAGAGCTCGATGGAAGAGCAAGAAGATGGAGGAAGAATACTCCAAGTTGAAGACTCAGCATGAAACCACTGTTGTTGAGAAATGCAGGCTTGAAAACGAGGTCCGTATCTTTCTCTAACATGGATTCTACACTTCAAAATATTATACAAGGATTTCTTGTTCTTCTTTTTACTGTTTACATTACTATTTTCACTCAAGTCAAGGGTTATGGTAATTTATCTGCATGTACTAACAGAGTTAAGCAAACAAAACCACATATTTAAGTAAAAACAGAAAATTTTGGAGTCCGGGCTTGGAAAGCTTTGTAGTTTTTCACTAATGGAGTCTGCCACCCACCACAAAAGAGTGCCAAATGTACCACGTCTCCAATTTCAAGGTTCCGTACATAGTTGGCAGTCCAGCTCCAGCTCCAGCACATGCCATTCCCCCTCACGTGGCGTGGATACACAGTAACTGAACACTTAAATAATGGAAATTGCTCTGTGTACAAAACAATTTCCTACAGATATATTACCGACCCCTCACTATAGGGGTCGATCCCATATAAAAAAAAAAAAAAAAATTATGCTGAGGTCAGCACATGTGAGAGATCTGGCAGGGGTCTATGTAAG